TTCTGGCCTGTGCTGGGAGGAGTACAAAGTGGCAGAAATGATCTTCAGACTCCCTTCCCAAGTAGTTAGTAGGGGAGTCATGAAGGGAGGTCCAGAAAGAAAAAAAGGTTTTGAACGGGAAAGAATCAATTTCCTGGACCAGGTGGCTCTTGAGCATATGTACCAGTGTCTATTCGTGGAGCTTCCTACTCACAGGAACCCTCGGCTCCAGCTCTGCAGATGCTGGAGTGCTGTATTAAAATAATGTATCAGCTACTTAATTCTTCTAATTTCTCTGGGGACTAATCTGCCTTTTAGAGAAATAAGTTCCTTTTGCTGGGAATTCCCTGGTAGTCCAGTGGTTGGGACTCAGCACTTTCACTGCCTGGGCTCGGGTTCAATCCCTGGTCAGGGAACCAAGATCCCACAAGCTGCAGGGTGCAGCTGAAAAAAAAATTCCCTTTGCCACCAAAATCCTACCTTGGCTCCAGAGCCTGCCTACTGCATCTTCCCACTCCAACCAGGATTCTACTATGGGGAGCCAAGCATATAAGACTACCCCACAGTTCTAGGTCAGAGTCCCTTATTATCTGGGGACCAATCAGTGAAAACTGTCAACATGAATACATGGAACTCCAATCAAAGAGTAATATCAAATCCTGGCCATATCAGGATTAGGTTTAGCTGCATATAACTTAGGAGTTCAAAATAACAGTGGCTTATAGTATATTTTTCTTTTTTTAAAAAATAAATTTATTTATTTATTTATTTTTGGCTGCCTTGGGTCTTCGTTGCTGTGCGCAGGCTTTCTCTAGTTGTGGTGAGTGGGGGCTACTCTTCATTGTGGTGTGCGGGCTTCTCGTTGCGGTGGCTTCTCGTTGCGCAGCACGGGCTCTAGGCTTGCGGGCTTCAGTAGTTGTGGCGCATGGGTTCAGTAGTTGTGGCACATGGGCTTAGTTGCTCCACGGCATGTGGGATCTTCCCGAACCACGGCTCCTTCCCAACAGTGGTTTATATAACAGTTTATTTCTCTCATGCAAAAGAGCACAGGGACATGATCTTAGGTCAAGGCTTCCCTCTTTAAGGTCACCTGGTACTTAAAAGTGCATGCTCTAGAATTCCAGCCCCATTCCAAAAAGAAAAAAGGAGGGAGCCTTTTCAGAGCACTTGCCTGGAAGACTCCACTCACATCTTTGGCTGGACTTGGTCGCGTGGCCAGCTGTGGGCTCTGAGTTGGGCAGACTGTTCCTCACAAGGTGAAGGGCCCTGTACTAAGGGAGACGGGAGAATGGACACTGGGTAGGGATGCAGCCTCTCCCTACCTGACCTACGCCTGACTTGTGAGGTGCTGGAATCTGCCTTGTCCAGAGGACATCCTAATTCTCAGAGATCACACATACACTTACCATTTTTATTCTTGGTGAGTAGAAGGGATAAAGAAGATAGTTTGGCAAGAGAGAGACTGGACTCAAGGCTGGTTAGCCTAGGGATAGATGAATTTTCAGTGGTGAGGAAGACAGATGAATCAGTTCCCACGTGGGCCTTCGCCCAGATACCCAGCAACTATGGCTGTGCCTGCTTCGTTATTTATCCCATAAACACAGGTTTTGCTCATGGATAGGAACTATGTGGCACGGTGCTGTCTCTTCCCTCTCCTTTCCTCACTGCAGCATTCTTCTCTGCTGAGTGGGAGCACGACCTCAGAATCTGGCAGGTATTTTGGTCCGAAAGGCTTGGCATTAGTGTTTCAGTCTACTAGCCATCTTTAATTGCTTATGGGAGTTTTCACTCTGACGGGATCTCTGGATATAATTCTTTACTTCATAGGAATAAATCTCTCATAGTGGAATTTAGGTGTATCCACACTCAATAAAAGTATTCAGATTTTACCACTAAGTGACTGCGATCACTTGACATGTTCTAAACCTGTTCTTTTGACTGTTTACCTTACTGGACTATGAGTTTCTCTAGGGTGAGAACTATATTTTATCCATTTTTGCATCCCCAAGGTCCCTGGCTTGGTACGTACAAGAAATGTTCTATTGATAAATGAATCACTTATGTTGGTCAAAGTCAAGTTGCTATCAGAGTCAATACTTCCCCGTAGCTGGTTACCAGTGAGTATTCTGGGGGCCTAATTTTGGCGGGGGGGGGGGGTCATTGGAGAATAAGAAGGTAACAGGAAGATCACTGGTGGCACAACAAAGGGTCTTGGTTACTCCACATCTGCCTTACAAATGTCAGAGTGACTGACACAGGAAATTGGCTACCAGGTGATAAAGAAAGAGCAGATATAGTCTAAGCAGGTATTTGGTCCAAGCTTTTAGCCATTTTCCTTCTTTTGACCAAAGGTCCATTTCCTGAGTTAACCTGGCTCAGCGTTTTGTCTTCTAGGAGGTGATTCAGGGAGTTGTGCAAGTGATTGGTTCATATTTCAAGGATACGAGTATGGCTGAAGAGACCGTAATTACGCTCTCCCTGATTCAATCAAGCTAGCCTATTCTCAATGATTTGTTTTTATAAGTAGATATTTATAAATTGTTTAAGCTAATAGTGATATTGCTAATGTTTTAAATACTGTGATTCCTTTCAAAACCTTGTTAAAAAAAAAAAGCTGCCATAGCTAAAAAGTTTGAAGAGCACTGACTTAGCTATTCACCGGAGTTCCAAATGCACCTCTCTACAACCAAAACCTTATATAGCGATTATGGAGGAGATGAAGAAACATAATTCCCCAATGCTTCTTTCTGCTCGAAGAGCAGGGTGTGATTGAGTCGATCCAGCTGGATGTTTTCTAAGGCTGAGTGTTCGAGGACGGGGTCTAAGGCCGCAGTGCTCACCTTCCCTCTCCCCTTCCAGCCCCAAACCTGGGCTAGATCCATAAGGAGGAAGTGTCCCTGCATTCAGAATCCCAAGTGATACATCATGGTAGATACTGTGGCTAAAGGCACAAGTTTTTTCTGAATAATGCTTCTCTTCAACCTTGTTGCCGTTGGTCAGGAGGGCTGGACCCACAGAAATAACAAGGCTCCCCTCTCTTCAAGTCTAGAACTAGTCCTAAGCAGTCACTCCCAAACTCCTTCAAAAAGAAGACAAGCTAGACTCACTAGAGTGAGTCTCTTTTCTACTCAAAACGTCTGCAGATTCCTTCCCTCATTATTCCAGTCTGCTTCCCTGCTCTCCTCCGGTTCAGTGATTCCTGGAGGGGGGGCAGGAGGGGGGTGGGGTGGATGCAGCTAAGAGGGGACCTCATGGACTAGATCCCCACTTAGGCCATTTCTCAGTAGTCTGACCTTCCACAGGTTTAATTATCAGAATTCAGGTGTCTTTATTTGTAAAATGGGGAATAATAGGGTGGGCTTGCTTGTGAAAAAAAATTAGTATTTGGCAGGTGTTCAAGAAATGACACCTTTCATTACCATCTTGGCATCCCACTGCTTCTGCAGCCTTTCCTAAAGTGTCACTGTGTGTCAAGCAGGAGGCGTCTCTGCCTGGAGGATTTTGACGTGAGTGTGCGTGTGTTTTGGCAGGGGTGGGGTGGGGTTGACACCCTGGTAAATTACTGGCAAGGCTTTCGTACTTATCTTTCTTCTCCAGGCATGCTGACCAGAAGTCATATTCCTGAATAAGCCCAACAGGTGCATTCCTAAGGGGAATAAGGTGGGAACATCAAAGGTGGGGCGAGTGCAGAAAAGTCCCTGCAGACCAGTAGCTATCCATCCTTTGGCAACAGTCTGTGGCTACCCTGCCCCCTCCTCCAGATGCTTTTCTCGGTTAACACTGCCACCTAGTTCTGCCAATGACCTGTCAGCAGGTCAATGACCTGTCAGCATGAGAAGCATGAGAAGCTTGTACCATACGTGTGCAGACACGTATGGTAATGACTGGATGCTTCCTTTCATATGACACTCAAATCACAAAACAGCAATCAGAACAGGCAATACGGTAACCCCCTCCCAATTTACAGCCATCTTACCCATGCACTGTAGCCCTGAAAATCTGAATATTCACTGACTTACAATTATGTTACAAGCTTTCCTGGGAAGCAAGAGGGTCAGAACTGCCTTAATAAAGAGAATCATTTCATCTTCTTGCTACCTACCCACCTCTTTGGGGCTGCAGTTCTTTAGAACTTTCCTTCCTCATCTCCTCAGTATCAGCATTTTGCTATCATTTATATTCCAAGTGTTACCAACCAGCACCCTTGGACTCTTTAATCAATAGAAATTGACAAGAGGCCAGATGAGAATTTCAGACATGGCTTTATGGGGGCTTGTGCTGCAGCATAAGGAAGTGAAAGCAAGCACCAGGTGTCCTTGCCCACTCCTTCACAAAGAGCTCCCTGGGTCCTCTGATGGGGTGACAGTGGGGGTGGATCTGCAGGCCAGACAGGGGGCATGGCTTAGGCAGTTTGTCCATCCTTCGTGGCAGTGCCATATACAGAGATCATGTGCAGTTTCCCACTTTCTGTGCCGGCACCTCAAAATGGCAGACTTGCTCGTTACCGCCACCAGGAAGGTTGTGTAGTGGTCAACATTGCCCCTACTGCACAGGCATGAGGTTGTTTTTAATCACTTGTGGTTGATTCACGGCCTTCAGCATCCCTTTGCTTAAGGAAGCTTTACCCCTTGGTCCGTTTATGGTTGCCAGCTTCCTGTTGTTCAAGGAGGCGCTGTCCAGGTGCAAGTGTCCTGTTAGATGATTCTAGGTCCCAGCCGATCTCATTCTCTCTTGAGGGATTCTACACCCATTATTCTTTTTTTAAAAAATTTACTTATTTTATTTATTTATTTTTGGCTGCGTTGGGTCTTCGTTGCTGCACACAGGCTTTCTCTAGTTGCAGTGAGTGGGGGCTACTCTCTGTTGTGGTGTGTGGGCTTCTCATTGCAGTGGCTTGTCTTGTTGTGGAGCACAGGCTCTAGGCACATAGGCTTCAGTAGTTGTGGCACACAGGCTCAGTAGTTGTGGCTTGCGGGCTCTAGAGCGCAGGCTCAGTAGTTGTGGTGCACGGGCTTAGTTGCTCCATGGCATGTGAGATCTTCCCAGACCAGGGCTTGAACCTGTGTCCTCTGCGCTGGCAGGCGGATTCTTAATCACTATGCCACCAGGGAAGCCCTACACCCATTATTCTTAAGGGTCAAGGGGCCAAACATCTCTTCTTCTGGAGCCACGTCCTGCTGAACAGGGGCCACAGAACCTAGCCTACCCTAGAGGTGTAGAAGTCCCTTGATGACTGTTCTAAGGACCTAAAGGGACATGGGTCACCTTCTAATGGAACAGGTTGAAATTCCTGGGCCACCATGAACCTAACTTGGAACTGCTGAAGCCTGGAAGACACAAATCTAACTAAAAGATTAAACAGGCAGGGTCTGAACAATAACAAAAGGACTACTGCCACTAGAGGGCCCAGGAGACGCAGGAACCAAGTAATGCTAGGGATGTAACCTTTAATCGAGTCCCATATAGTTGGGGCAGTGGGGTAGCTGAACCCATGTAACCACTTAGCTTGTTCATAAATTTCCTGAATATTTAGTTCAACTTCCCCCAAGTTGTTGATGTACGTACTGCAAGTTTTGTTAATTACTGCATAGACACCCACTTGTTCAGCCCTAAGATAATCCAGGGTTAACCTATTGTCAAACACAACATTGTCTAAGGAATCTAGGGACTCCTGGAGGCCCCTTAAAGGCATCACCATTTTTTTTTTTTGGGCTGCGCCGAGTGAGGTTTTCGGGACCTTAGTTCCGTGACCAGGGATTGAACCCGTGCCCTCGGCAATGAAATCACTGAGTCCTAACCACTAGGGAATTTCCATCACCAGTTTTTGAGGCCAGGTTCTCTATGGCCTGTGTGGGTTTCTTAAGGTTGTTTTGTGATAGGGAAAAACGCCCCAGGGGCGGCCACTCCTATGGCCACCCCAATTCCTGCCGGGATTAGTCTGAGTACCCAGCTATGTCTGTTTTGAAAGGTGGCATTATTATATATGGTGGCACCTTGTCCTTTAGGGCCCAGTCGTCCCAAAGTGCATTCTCCCCGGAAGTGAACATTGTCTAAGCATGGATAGGCCATTGCTCGGAGAGGCCAGGAGAAGGAGGAATTTGGGTTCCCTTCGAAGGGTAGTTTATTTTGGGATGGACCACAGAGGAACAGATGTCCAGTGGGGGTGCAAGCTTGGCGGGGTGAAGTGGAATTAAACCATCGACGTAAAAGGGAACCCCAGCTAGGTGCATTATTGCATCTGGGGGACAGAGGCCCTCCGTCTAGTGGTCCTCCATCTAGTTCTGAGTTTTCCTCTATTCCCTCCTCGTCACTGAAGGCAGATGGGGTCTGATAGGTGAGCCTCCAGGAAGGGGCTGCTGTTCCCTTCCAGTGCGTACAAGAGGTGTTGGGTTGGGTCCCTGGGGAGAGCAGAGATGGGTCCACACACCAATGAGTCTGGTTAGGAGTGCATGAGGAGCTTGAAGTGGAAAATGACATAGGATAAATAGAGAGTGAGCGTCCTGTATCAGTAAGGCAGGTATCTGTCTGGCAGGGGCAACAGGGTTTTCCTTGCCCTGTGCAGAGAAGGGGCCGCTTGATCCAGAGACCGGTTTGGTTCCAAGGGTCTGTAAGCTCTACACACCCGATATCATCATGATCTTCGAGTTCCACTATTAGAAGTGGTGTGCTCCTAATGGGTTCAGAAGTCAGGATGAGATTAATGTCCTCATCTACAGGCACAAACCGGAACCGAGAAACCCCCTCTTGTGCGAGAGGATGACAGATCCAACAATTAGAGAGATTTTTTCCTGAGGCCAAAATGCTGGAATAGTTGACGACTGAGTTTTCTCTCCGGGTTCCCCTTCCCTTATTATTTTCTCCCCAGCCCCTCTTTAGGAGAAGGGCCAAGAGAAGTGCCCACGTTTTCCACTCCGTCATTGGTTCTGGTCTTCTAGACCCAGGAGGGACAAAAGAGTTGCTTTTTCACTGGGGGTGGTTGAGCAAACCGGTAAGATGTGAGCAAAACTATAACAAAGTAAGCAAATAGAAGTCCAGCCTACCACATCCCCCTTTACTCATCTGTTAGTGGTGCTCAGTTTTTGAGTAAGTATCGCAGGTCTTCTACTGGCTCACAGGTGTGTTCTTCTGTTGTGGCCTGTGGGGTTTTGGGAGGCAAGAGTTTTAATCTAGATAAATGTACCTAACTAGGTATTCCTTGTAGTTTAATGGCAGTGGGGGTGGCTAAAATTACTCTACAGGGGCCCTTTCATTTTGGTAATAGTTGATCTCCAGGGGATCCCTCCTTCCAAGTTTTAAGAAGAACCTGGACCCTGAAGTTAATTTGTGGAGGGGCTGCCCCTTCTGTTTTACCCCTAGTGGGACCTGGCAGTGCCTTCTTGGCTTAGTCCAAGATTGCCTTTTGAACCTGTCCCAGGTTAATAACACACTGTAGCCTCTGGCTCACTTCCTCATACCAGTGGTAAGGAAGGGCGTCTCATAGGTCACTTCAAATGGTCTAAGCTTCAGGAGACTCCTGGGGGCTATGTGAACCCTGAGGAGTGCAATAAGAAGCAGGTTGGTCCAAGGCTCATGAATCTCTTGGCAAAGTTTTGTTAAGGTTTTCTTTAAAGTATGGTTCATTTTGTCTACTTTTCCTGAAGACTGGAGGTGCCAAGAGGTGTGCAGATTGTAGCTAATTCCAAGGCGGCTGATAGGCCTTGGGTGATGTTCGCTATGAGGGAGGGCCGATTATTGCTCTGGAGGGATTTTAGAAGCCCAAACCGAGGAATCGTTTCTTATTTAAGAGGGACTTACAGACTTCAGTGGTCTTTTCAGATTGAGTGGGGAAGGCTTCCACCCATCCTATAAAAGTACTGACAGACACAGGAATATATTTATATCCTGACTGTGGGGGCATTTGGGTGAAGTTTAATTGTCAGTCTTCCCCCAGGTATGTCCCACGGGGTTGAAGTGGCTTGAGTAATGAAGGAGGGATTGGATGGGCCTGCGGATTATTATGGGCACACAAATCACAGGCAAGGGTCACTCATTTTATTGTTCCTTTAAGCCCCTTTCCTGAAAAGGTCCTTTGTATCAAGTCCCATAGTGTATTCCTCCCACAGTAGGTGGCACCATGTAAACCCTTGATGAGCCTCCTTTCTTGGGCCCCAGGGATAAGAAACTTGTCATCCTTTATATACCAGCCTGTGCTTTCTTTCTTATAGCCCCATTTTTCAGCATTCTCTTGTTCCTGTGGGGAATACTGGGGCAGGCCAGGGAGTTCAGGGGGGCCAATCATTAGGGCCGTGATTTGGTCAGGCTCTTGCGGCCATGATTTGGTCAGGCTCTTGCAACTGAACTGCCTGTTTTGTGGCCTGATCAGCTTTGTTATTTCCTTGGCTTATAAAGGACCCGTCCTTCTGATGGCCCTTACAGTGAATTACTGCCACCTGGGTTGGGAGCTGCACTGCTTCTAAAAGAGCCAAGATTAAATCTTTAGGTTTTATGGAAGAATTTCTAGCAGTTAACATTCCTCTCTCTCTCTCCAAATGGCAGCATGAGCGTGTAGTACATGGAATCCATATTTAGAATCAGTAAAAATATTTTTCTGGGCTGAAGTCTGGGGTGGTGGGGCCTTGGCTTCTATGATTTCATTTAAGCTAACTATAGCATCCTGCCATTCGGGTTCCCATCTCTATAAAACTACTCCCATCAGTGAACCGTTCAGCCTCAGGGTTGTCAAGGGGTTCATCTAGAAGACTGGATCTGCTGGAATAAGTTTGTTCTATTGTCTCTGTACACTGATGCAATAAATCTCCATTTTCGACAGCTGTGAGAAGAGTTGCTGGGTTTAAGGCTTGGCACACCTTTAAAGTAATATCAGGGGTATCCATTAGGAGAGCCTGATATTTTGCTAACTTTCCCCTGGTTAACCAATGGTGTCCTTTGGCTTCTAACACAGATTGCACCTGATGAAGAGTTGATGCATCTAGGTGTTGTCCCACGGTGAGCTCAGAAGGCTCACTGACCAGTAGGGCCGTGGCTGCTACCACCTGTAGGCAGCTGGGGCATCTTGGGGCTGAGTCCAGTTGTTTTGAAAAGTAAACCACTGGCCTTTGATCTGCTCCCAGCTTTTGGGTCAGGACTCCTAGTGCTATCCCTGACCTCTCATCGATAGGGTGAAGGGTTTGTCTAAATTTGGAAGCCCTAGTGCTGGTGCCCTACTCAACTCAATCTTTAGGGTCTCAAAGTCCCACTGGTGGTCCCTACTCCATTAGAGGGGTTCCCTTTCTTCTCCCTTTAGAGCTTCCTGTAGGGCTTTGATTATAAGGCCATAATCTGGAATTCAGATACGGCAGAACCCAGCCATTCTGAGAAAGCCTCCGAGCTCTTTGTGGTTGGCAATGGTAATACATTAATGGCTGTTTTCTGATTTATGGCCAGGGCTCATGCGATGGGGGTCAAAACAAACCCTAAATATTGAACCTCTTGCTGTGAAATCTGAGTCTTTGTTGGGGAGACTTTATATCCCCTTTCTGCCAGGAAATTTAGGACCTTAACAGTATTCTGATCTGAATCTTGGCTTCACCTTTTTTAGGTAAAGGACCTTAGGACCTTATTAATAGGTCATCAACATACTGTAACAGAGTTCCATTTTTCAGGCTCAGTTCCCTCAGTTCTTTTCCTATCGCATTTCCAAAAAGACAGCAGCTGTCCCGAAGGCCCTGTGGAAGCACTGTCCAAGTGTAGTGAATAGCTTCCCGGGTGTCAAGTTCCTTCCATTCAAAGGCAAAAAGGTACTGGGAGTCTGGATGTAGGGGGATACAGAAAAATACATCCTTGAGGTCTAACACAGAGAAGTGTTGAGCACCCCCTGGCATTTGAGTACGGTGTACAGGTTTGGCACCATTGGGTGAATGGGATGGATGACTGCCTCATGCACTGCTTGTAAGTCTTGCACCAACCAGTATCACCATATCCCCGGGAGGCTTTTGGATGGGGAGAATTAGAGAAGTGGACTAGCAGGGCCGAATGAGCCCAGGTTCTAGGAATTTGGTGAGCAGCAGTTGGCCCCCATCCCCACCCCTTCCCCTGCCTCAAGACCTCAGGCTTTAAAGGATAGTGCCTCTGCCAAGGGTATTTTCCCCCAGGCTTTTCCTCTATTTCTATTGGGGGAGCATACTTTGCCTTTCCTGGTACCAATATGTCCCAAACCACACGATCTACCTGTTGCCTAATTTCTTGGGGACTATTTTTATGACCAAAAGGCGGGTCATCTGGGGCTACTAACAGATGCAATCTCTGTTCCTTCTGGGACCGCACCCTGTTCTCAGAGTACTAGCTCCCAGTTTATTCAGCAAATCTCTTCTGAGGAGGGGGAGGCCATTCCGGCACATACAAAAAGGAAAGAGTGATGATACCAGAATCGACCTCACAGGTAAGGGGGTGGGATGTAAACTGTCTTACCTTTGGCCGCCCATCAATCTCCATTACAGTACAGTCATGGTTGCAGAGGGGACCAGCAGGCCAACTCAGGACAAGGACACCCACCACTTAACCCAACAAATGGCAATAATACAGTTCAGAGCATGGAACTTTTAAAAACACGGACTAATAAATGTAATCAACATTACTGAGAGACCGGGGGGGAGCACAAGTTAAAAAAAGGTTAAAGTCGTCCAGAATTAGACAAAATCACGTTTACACTGCCTTTGGCAAGATGTACACACATTGCTGATGCTGGGTATTAGTTCCCTTACTTTTCTTCCCAGTTAGTACCTGCGTCCGTCACTAACACTTCGTGTCTCTGTACCTCAGTTTCCTCATATGGAAAATGGGTTGCGCCAGGTTTCTCCTGTTCAAAGCATTCTGTCCCCGCGTCTCCCCTCAGCACGCCTGCCCTGGCCACCTGGAAAAGGTGGGAGGGTTGTTTCTGCCGCCTTACTTTGTCCCCCCGACAGGCGAAGGTGCAGCGATGCACTCGGGGTGGCGGGGCGGGGACCACCCTCCAGAGTCCCCACACGCAAGGCCCACGAGATCGGGGGAACAGGAGAGCAGGCACTACTGAACGGATCTGACGGTAACCTGCGGGGAGCGCGGCGCCGCCCGGGCCCAAGGTGCATTCCCGGCAGACGACAGGCGGCTCAGGACAGGAGAGCGCCCCCACCCTGCCCAGCTGCCTCTCAGCGCATAAAAGAGAAAAAAAGCCTCTCACTCCGCTCCACCCCACCGCCCCCGCTCAGCCCGGAGCCGCCCCGCGGCCCCTACCCCGAGGCCCAGGCGCCGCACGAACCTCTCTTCCTCGCACCGGTCCCTCGCGACGCCGCCGCGCTGCCCGCGCCCGCGGGAGGGCCCCCTCCTCCGTAGCGCATCCGCTTCCAGGGCAGAGGGCGGGGCGGTGCCGGGGGGCGGGGCGCTGAGGGCGCGGGGGGCGGGGCGAGAAACGGCGCGCAGGGCGGGCCGGGAGGGCCGGGCCCAGAGTCCCAGCGGCCGCCCACGCCCAAGCCCGGCGCTGCTCCTCCCCGCTGCTAGCGTTCCCGCCGTCCACGGCTGTCCGCGTTCCCGCCGCCCGCGTCCGCCCCGCGTCCCCGAGTCCCCGCGTCCCCGCATCCCGAGCGGCCGCGCCCCCTGAACCGGAACAGCTTGCGGCCGCCGGCGCGGAGCCGGGCAGACCGGGAAGCGGAGGCGGCTGCGCGGCGCCCGCCATGGCGGCGGCGGGGTGAGCCGGGCCGGGCGGCCGCAGTCGCGCGGGCGCGGGCGCTCCTCC